ACCGGCTAACCGACCTCGCGCCGGCACTCGTCTTGCGCTCTTGCACGTAGACACCTGGTCGCACTCCGTAAAATCTCTCGGTGGACACAAGGGTGCGGTGATGTTCACGTGTGACAATACCCGCATGAGGTTTGGTTTTCCCATCAAGAGCAAAGATGCAGCTGCTGAGGCGCTGGAAACTGTTGTCAAGGAGGAAGCCGACCCGGAAGGACTGTGTATCACCACGCTACACTGCGACGGAGGGGGCGAGTTCAAGGGAAGGTTCGCGGCGCTGGCAGCATCACTTGGAATCAAAATCGAGACCAACGCCCCGTACATGCCTCAAGGCAACGCCGTCGCCGAGCGTGGCTTTGGCACGGTCGCAGCCATAACGCGGCGCCTTCTTCTTGGGGCACCTCATCTACCGGAGAGTCTGTGGGCCGAAGCGTTCCAATACGCGATCTATATACTGAATCGCACGCCTACGGACGTCTTGGGCGGCAAGGCACCACTTGAGGTATGGGAGAACAAACCGCTTGGCAGCTTGCACCACATCCGCGAATTCGGTTCGGTATGCTTTAAGCACGTGGAAGCGGGGGACAGGCCCAACAAACTGGCTGCCAGGGCTGAGAAGATGTTTCTGGTCGGTGTCAACCCTAAAAGCCGGTCGTGGAGGCTATGGTCCCCTCGTGACAAGTTTAAGATCACCAACTCCGCCGAAGTTTCTATTCGCGAGAAAGCCCCGCGCGACGTGGTTCCCCCCAAGGCAGGGCATGATCCGCTGCCAGAGACTCCAATGATTTACCATCCCGGTCCGGAAGAGTCTGATGACGACGTCGACAGTGTGGTGGAGCCACAAGACGAGCAGAAGGATAACGAGCCGGAGCCCACGCCTCAGGCGCAAGAGCCGGGCCCCCGTCGCAGCACCAGGAACCCCAAGCCGACTGAACGTCTGAACCTGTTTACCTTTGCCACGGAGGAGGAGGCCTTCGAGCAAGTGGAACGCTCCCTGCTCACCGGAAGCTCGCTTGGCAACAACGGGACTGGCAACCCTGGCGAAGTGGGCTACAGGGCTCCCGACCCTTCGAGCTACGACGAAGCGATCCGTGGGCAGGATGCTCTAGACTGGCAAGAGTCCATGCGGAACGAAAACCAGTCGCTTGTCGACCTTGATGTGTACGACTGGGTCGAGCCGCCGACGAGTGCCCAGGACCAGCCGATCCCGTCAAGGTACCTTTATAAGCGGAAGTACAAGAATGGCGAGCTTGCTCGACTGAAGAGCCGCGTTGTGGTCCAAGGCTTTCACCAAGCAGACACGGGCGAGGATAAAGCGGCGCCTGTGGCGTCCATGGAATCCGTCCACCTGCTGATTGCTATCGCAGCCAAGAATGGTTTTGGCCTGAAGCAAGCCGATATCAAGACGGCATTCCTCCACGCGCGGGTTCCTGCAAATGCGAAACCGATCTACGTCATCCCTCCGAAAGGGTTCGAGTGCTCTCCGGAACAACAGGGAAAAGTGTGGCGACTCAAGGCGTGGCTCTACGGGCTGCGCCTCTCTCCGAAGGGCTGGAACGGCACCTTCCACGACTTCCTGCTGGAGATCGGGTTCGTTCAGAGTACGGCGGACCCCTGTCTCTACATCCTTAACGCGGGAGGGGTCCTCCTTCTCGTGTACGTCGACGACATTCTTTTGTCGGGAAGCGACGAAGCGCAGGTGATGCGGGTCGTCGAGCAGCTGAAGGAGCGGTTCGACACAGTGTTCCTGGGAGATGCACAGTTCCTGCTCGGTATGGCACTTGAGAGGAACGTCGACGCCGGAACGATCTTCCTGTCGCAGGAGATGTACGCGAAGGCCGTACTTGACAAGTTCGGAATGGCCGACGCGCACTCTACGAAGACGCCTGCGGAGGCTGGGCCTATCAGCACCGTGGAGGAGAAGGTTTTGTCTCCAGAGGACACGGTGTACTTCCGGTCCGCCACGGGCAGTCTCCTGTATCTCAGCAGGGGTTCGAGGCCGGATATTACCCACTCGGTGATGGTGCTTACGAAGAGCATGGCGAAACCGGGTCCCAAGGCGATGGCAAAGCTGAAGCGGGTTCTCAGGTATCTAAAAGGGACAACCACTATCGGGATCACATACACCGAAGACGCCGACGGCGGAGACAAGCTAACGGCGTACGCGGATTCTGACTTTGCCGGTGACCAAGACAAGGGCTACTCCACAACCGGTGTCGTTCTCTATCTCGCAGGTGGCCCAGTGATCTGGATAGCCAAGAATCAAACGGTGCTGGCCATCTCCACGTTCGAGGCAGAAGTCGTCGCGCTGTCCAAGGCGTGCCTCATGGTTATACATTTTCGAAATTTGCTAGAGTCGTTGAAGATGAAGCAGAAGCAAGCAACAGTATTGTACGAGGACAACGCGGGTGCCGTAGCGTTCGCAAAGGGTAGCAAAATCACGCCCCGCACGAAGCACATCGACGTGAAGTTCCACCACGTCCGGCACCTAGAGGACCAAAACGTGGTAGATGTAACTTACATCGACACCAACAGGCAGAGGGCAGACATATTGACCAAAAGTTCGGGAGCTGTGAAGTTCCTGCAGAACCGCCTTATTTTGCTTGGAGTGTGAGTACCTCCCCTTACCGAAATCAGACCATATGTCTTAAAAGGGTTGGACGGTACATGGAATTCGCTGCCCAGAAAACTCTGGCAGTTAGTGATGAGTATTCAATTTGAATTGTTCGAGAGCATGCATTCATGTTGATAGCATTTGTCGAGAGGACACTGGTATTTGTTTCGAGAGGACACTGAGAGAAAGAATTTTGTGTCTTATGTATCAGAGCTAGTCATGACGTAGTTCTTGAGAGGACATGTTGGGATTTGTATGCAAGAACTGACTCTATTCTACTGCATGGGTTTTGTGCAGTATTGTGAAGGCGTGTCTCCAAGTCTGTAACCGTCAGGTGAAGACAGCTTGGGCGCCTGTGTTTTGGATCTAATGATCACTCTGTGTTGTATCTACCCAAACTGCGCCACCACTGCCAACTACACAACAAACAGCAACTACAATTCTGTTGTCAGTTTCTATACGCTATCGCCCGAAACGCACCAACCAATTTGGCCTGCGCCAACACGACGAAACTCGACGAAATTCGCCAATGTGCTGCGCGGGACCACCGATTGAGAATGGCCGCCGTGCCAACGGTATTCGACCTTTCCATGCACAACGGCGTGCAGCGTTCACCCAGGCTGTGGTGTGCCCGAGCATCAGCATGGCCAAACGACCCTGTTGTGCGACACATGCCTTGGTATGCTACATGTATGTCCGCCTGCGCCATAATGGAGATCGTCGGCCGTAGAATGAAACAGTCACCCGTCGCATCCATCCGTGGATCCGTGTCCACCCCTCTACTTCTGCGGTGGCTGAGGGCAAGTTGTTCGAGACCGCCACCACGCTGGCATGTCGTCAGAGCACACTCGCTGGCCAAAAGTGACGACACACCACAGACACATGTAGTTTGGGCCTGCAGGGGTGAGGTAGATATCACGGTGGTGCACGGTGGAATGAACGATCGCCGCCCGCGGACGGATCAAGAATTTTTCGTCGGATGGTGCCCTTTTCTACTCCTTTCGCTGTTCACACGAGTTCTCGGAGTCAGCCACCTCACCGTAACATGCCCACCGCACACACTCACGCTGGTCACGTGGCCAAACAAGTGGTACGTCTACGGAAAGCCCTGGGCGGCATGTTTCCAGCAACCACCATTTTTGGTGGTTGCACAAGCTTGGTTGTGGAGCAATCGAGCTCTGAAAATAGGTCAAGGGGCTCGCCATCCGTCCGCCTCGAACGGTAATTTTTCATCTGATCAAAGTAGGGATTGCGATCACAACTTTCGTTTGATCGAAGCAGATACATTTGGACAAAAAACCTCCATTGCTTCATTCGGGGGTAGCGCTCACTGCCCCAATTTGCATTTGGGGTAACGTGAGAAAAAAACTTGGTTCGTGCGACCGCACCGAGCTTCCAACTTGCTCCAGAAGTCAGAAAAAATGCGCAAGACAACAACCGTACCAACTGAGACTCCTGTGACCACCACAGCAGCCTTCTCGTTCTACTAAGTCCTACATGTCGCAAGGGCAACAGCAGTAGTTGTTGCCATGCGGAGACACACCTGCTTGGTCCTGGCAAAAGAAAATCCTTCATTGCAACCAAAATATCAAGAACCAACACCACCGCTTACAACAGCCCCGGTTCCCCTTGCAGCAGGTCGACAAAAAAAGACGCTGCGGTCGGGGGGATCAACCGACACCAAAAACACAAAAATAAACAAGAGAATGCGGTTTTCACGCACGCCGAACGACATCATACAAAAACGAGACTACTGTAAGTCACACCTAAAGGTTGGTATCCAGGTCTTGCATGTTCAATAATATAGTAGCAATGGAACACGCTTTCTCCACTTCCAGGTAATTGACGGATATCCTTAGGACACGCGACAAATGCAGCTCTCGAGTAGATGAGCCGAGAGGGAATATGATTCAATACACTTGCACAATACCAAAATTTCCTACTTGCACTATGTACATGTAATGTTCTACTGTTCAAAGGCAGATCACCACCTTTTCTTCCTTGGTCGCCCGGTGGAGAGTCGACATCAACAAGGGTAGAGCAGGCTCCACAAATAGCCACCAAAACGTTCGTCGACAGCAACAACAAACAACACGCTTTCAAACCGGGTACATACGTGGGGGACGAAGAGACCAATCAGCAAAGGGTCAGAAGCAGCAGCAGCGGCCAACGACGCCGGAACATTTGATGGCATGAGTGACCCAAGATAGCTCCACCAACTACCTCAAAACTGTACAACGGGAGTAGTCCTCTCGACAACGGCAGGAAAATCGGCTAATAACGCTGTGAGTGGGGGCACAGGGGAAGGAAGACGTCGCGGTAGCCGCACACGACCAGTAACAGCACCCTCTTTCCCGCCATAATCATCCATGCCTGGGCGCCTCTCCCACCCTCACGCTTGACGGCGAACAGGCACCTTCTCCACCGCTTTCTCGCTGAACAGGCCCTTCTTCTCCGCGACTCTCTCGGCGGCGCTCGCGACCCTCTCCTTGTCCACGCCAGCGAACATCCCCTCCGCGGCATCGCTTAGGAGGCCCTGCTCGGGCCCGTGCAGGACGCTCACGACCTCCCCGACGACGATGGTGGCCGGCGCCTTCACCTTCAGCCCGCGCGCCACCTTCGAAATCGTGTCCACGGTGCCCTTGATGACCCTGCCAAGCGTTGTAGCATCAAGTAGCGCAGAGGAAACGATGGATAGGTGGTGGTGGGGGGGGCTGCAACAACGGGAGGGGAGGGGGGGGATGCTCATAGTCGTGCATGCCGTAGTCGTTAGACCATTGACCTCGCATTCCTAC